ATAAAGCCTGTCTTTGGAAATCGTAACCGAGTTTGTATTCTGCTTGTGGGTTCCTCTGTTTAACATAACAGGGACTCATTCTGAATGGGTCTCAAAGTGTGTGGTCAAAAAACTAAATCTACTTTTAATGCTTAGCTATGTGATGTCTGACTTTTATTTTGACAGAATAGCTTCCATAAATGCCTGTTAAGTGAAAACATTTTGTAGGCCTTACTTATGCAGTTATGATTTTGATTTTATTCATATTTAGAACAATCATTAGCACACTGTTGTAACTGTCATACTCAACCTATTGCAGTGATTTATGACCATGAGAAAATATGGGTCCCAAAGTGAGACATGTTGACAACCACTTAAATTATACTTATGACAAGAGTGTATTGATATAATGCTACTTATGTGATGTTTTTTCTACTCTACTTTTGGGATTGAAACTGCCATAAAACTTGTTTTAAACAGTTATAGCACTGCTCAGGTTTTATCATGTTAATATATTTCAACTGCTTTAAATTTTACAGCTTACGGCTTTGAGTGTTTTCAAGGCTTACACACAACTGACATTTCCACTACTTCCAGCTCTTACTTTTTTACTTTTACTTAAACCACTTTCAGTGGCCTAACGCTTCAACAGCATTCAGCTCTTTAACAAGCCCTTCAGTGTTTCAAAGGAGCTGCTTTAAGTGCTTCAACTTAAACTGCAGACTTGTCTCATCACATCTCACATGAAAAAGTCAACATTTAAATTTTAACATTTTACAGTTTGAACCTGTAAACCCTAACAGCATTTTCAGTGTAATTCTAAGATTTTATGAGTTTAGAATTACGCTTTGACAAATTTGCAAGGAGTGTGTGTTGACATTTTGCTTAGTGCCCTAAAAAAGGCTTGTGCTAACATGTCCCGCATCCAATTGATCCTTCTTAAGCCCCGCCCCTTTTTGCTCTCAATAACATTAGCTAGATAATTACAACTGAGAGCTAATGTTAACAAAACACTAGTTAACTAGCTTGCTTATTTACATCAATCAGTAATTTGCTAAAGTTTTGCTAACATTAGCTAACTTAAGATCAACATTTTTCACATAGACGAGCCTACCACATAGCATAGCAAGTTCAGGAAAGGAGAAAGTTGACTGAGGCTAAGAAGGGTGAATGTTTGCAGCTATGTAAATGATAATTGACTGATAATTGATAATTGTCTGCAACTATACCACTGACTGGACCAATTTAAAACAATTGCTGCTTTAAATTATTTTATTGTACAGCCTAATTTTTCTGATCCTTACTCGGAGTTAAAGACTGCACATTTCCAGTCTGATCCAGTCCCAGTACAAATGCTGTTAACACTGTGGCCACAAAATCCAGTCAGCATAGAGCTACAGCTGGCTGAGAAGTGTGTGGGATTTGAGTAGCATTAGCCTCCTTTGTGATGCAGATCTGTATGGGATTAAAGCATCTGTTAGCGGTTAGCTTCTCCAGTGGCCGGTAAACAGACGGGAGTGGGCGAGGAGGAACTGTTATTATTAATGACACTGGGAGGAAGAATGGAGAAGGAAACATACAGAAAAAGAAGCCGTTGAGGGTTAGTAGTAACAAATCGCTAGTCGGAGCTACGGTGATGCAGTGAGTGCCCTGGGAACATGGCAAACACCCTGCAGATGTTGTTGGCAGGGCCCCTCAGGATGCAGCTTTAGACCCCTCCACCCACAAAAAAGACAGTTGTGTTGTTTGCTTGCGTATGCGTTCAAAAGAAATTAGTGATAAAAGTAGCGAGCATGTGTGCACAAGTGTTTGAGTGGTTGTGTGTATGCGTTTCAACAGCCTTCACAGTCCCCATCACTCCCCGCGCTCTCACAGAGACATGTTTGAGAGCAGAAGTAGGAGGCGGCTAAAATCCATACATATTTGACTATTAATGACCACAGCGTGAATCCAGACTGAATATTCATCATGGGACCTAATCCTCCTCTGTGCTGGAGCCTCGTTGCTGTCTTCAGTCCCACTGGGTCTCAAAGCCGCCAGTCTGCTCTGTCACAAGTAGCATCTTCTCCCCTAGGGACATATCCCATCCACCCCTAGGCTTCACTGCACCCCCTACCCCCCAGCTCAGAAAACGGCACATATGCTGCCACTATGCTGCCCTCCAGCTATGGGCTAATTCGAAAGGTGTGTGGCATAATGAATATACAGATTCAATTCTCTGTGTGCAATATAGTTGGATTAAGGGTACTTTGTGTGTTAATTACTGTATGTTTATTCATTACATGTGACCATTTAACACTGATTGAAAGGTAAAAAAAACTGATTATGGGCTAAATGAGATGAATAATTCTTTCTACTATGTGAGTGTAAATTAGGGTCAGAGGAGTTGGTTTGTCTTTTATTTAAAGTCACATCTGGTCAGCCATTCTCTACTCTTATGTTGGCATTTGATGTCAATCTATATTTAATGAATAGCTGACTGGCGCTGATTGATTAGAAAAAAATGGATTCTGCTGCAGAATATTGCATTGTCATCTGTCAACAGGGTTTTACTGTACATATTTTGTTCTGAGGGAAACACTTTGTCAAACCATGACAGTGAAAGACTGTATACTCTAAATAGGTTAAATATTGTTTCTGTAACAGTAAAACACTGTTATATCTCATGGCAAAACCTTTATTTATACTAATAAAGTCAGTTATATTACAGACTGTAAATTGCACAGAAAACCACTGTCATATCATTCATATGGTATTTTCATATGACAAAACTGTTTCTTTTGAGGGTAAAATTCTGTATTTATACAGGAAAAATTGATTAAAAGTTCTAATATCCTTTTACCGCAAGTATCTACACTTACTTGAACTTTATTTATTATTTGTAATAATAAAAAGTAACAGCAGCTTAAATAAAAAATATCTGTGTCGTTTATTAAAACTAGTGTAAAAACCAGCCAGGTGTTTGATAAATAATGTGGAATCACAGTGTAGGACCTAGAGCTCCTCGGAGCCAAAAAAGATCGAAAGACGCTTTGGTTTAGTGGCTTGGTTGTTTTTCGTTCAGGCCCGGTGGATTCTTGCTAATGCCATTAGGAGCACTAGGAGGAGCCAGGGGAACCAGATTCTTTGACAGAGATCTCTCTCATGTACTACTGTCAGGATATAGTGAAGGTTTGAGCTTTGAGTGGTCGGAAGACTAGAAAGGCGCTATACAAGTACAGGTCCATTTACCATTTACCAAGGTTTCAGCAAAAGTAAAAAAAAAAGTTACCTACTGCAGCTTTATTATTGACAACACACAGTGAATTCTACCCATGTAGAAAGCAGTTAGGAGGTTAAATGTGTGTTTAGGGTCAGTCTGAGGTCAGTGAGCGTTTCTGAGCCAGCAGCTTAGTGTGCTAGCCTTGTTAAGAAGAAGTGGACAGGAAGTGGAGCTGTCCCAACAGGAAGTGACTCACCACCGTAGGGGTCAGTGGCATTGTAAGATGTGTCATTATACAGCTCCTCTGAAAACACAGGCACACACAGTGGCTCATCAGTCCAAACACTGAACAAAGCTGAAAAAAAAGATTTTAAATCCAACATTTCATTGTCTTCTCCATTCTGCAGCAACCTGTGGAAATATTATAAAAGGTTATGTTGTAGGCATCTTATGTCATGTCATCACATCACCTCTAGATGGAGATATGTCATATTCTATTTGCGTTCACATGGCGAGAGAGCAGGAGCACAGAGTTCATACACAGCTACCACAGTGGCTCCTGTAGGAATAAAGGACTCTACTGAGGATATGTCTACTCACTGGTCTGAACTCTGAGTGTAAAGGGGTTCTTCTGCTGGATGGTGTGTGTGAAGGGGAAGCGAGCGTTGCAGCTGTAGTCAGTGTGAGCATCTTTGGCCAAAACGTTGGAGAAGTACAGGTCTCCGTTCAGACCCATGGAAACTCTCTTATCCTGAGGGATGGGAACCATACCTGGAGGAGAACAGACGGAGGGAAATGGAAAAGGGAAAAGAGAGAGAGGTAATGAAACACCATTTGATTTGTACAGTTGTTAATAGAGACTACAGCATCAGTAAGCATTACAATTAATTTCCTAAAAGCAGTCAAAGACGTGGATTTGCAGTTTTAATGTAAACTTAGATTTTAAGAATCTTTACCTTGGATGAGTGAAGACTATAAGATGTGTGTTACACATTATTATAGTTGGGAAAAAGATATTTATGCTTCTGAAGTCTCAATATCACTTTATTTTATAGGTCTATAATTGTTTCCGAGAAGTTTCCTACCTCAACTGCCACACTGCATTATTTCTTTCCAGAAAACTTCCTTTGATTTTATTATTCAGAAATATAGAAATGTTGGACCCATAAAATAAAGCATTACTAACATCGCAACAGAATGGGGACCATGTACGTTCTAGGCCATGTACTTTTTTTGCAGGAAAAAGATATCTGACACACATTATTGTTCCAAGCAGATTTGTTTGGAGGGGATCTTTAAGTTTTATTTTGATTTCTGAGGTCGTAATACAAATGGGCAGGCAGGGTCTAACGTAAAAATCGGTTGCATTATGGGAACTGTAGCATCCAGTGTTTCTGGAGATTGTTCCATACTAGGAACTAAAATTCTGGATATTTCAACCTCTACTGCTTGGATTTTGATCATTCTTTTTTCTTTTTTTCTTTTTTTTGCTCTGTCTATTTATGGAAAACCTTATGCAATACCAAATTACTTCATTAGCCCTTTAATCAAGCAGGGCTATATCAACTAATGCTAGCATTTTAAATACAGTATATAAAGATGATATGAATCCAACCACACACATCATCTGCAGTGATAGTGTAACTTGATTTTCTTTGGCTGCAGAAGCAGTAAGAAACCCCGTGCTACCAACTGATCTCTCACATATTGTATCACAGGCTAAAATATCCTATTTAAAAGAAGAACCTCAGTAACTGCGCCGGCTGATGCGAGCCGTATGGTCATCAAGACAATTCCCCAGGACCTATCAGCAGCCGGGCCAGCGGTCCTAATCACAAATTGGTGTCTTACAGTGTCTGGGCCATATGTGTGTGTCATATAGGGTTTTCCCTGAGTTCACATAAGTAATAGGACTTATAGCTGCACCATGTACGATTTTAACTGTTGTCATGGATATGTTTCTCTCACATTAGTCATTTTCAGGTATAAAGCGCAATATTCAAATAAATGACTTAAATCAGTGCTATGGTTGTTTCACTAACTATGAGACTGTCAACTTTTAAGCTGTTAAGCACAACTGTTTTTCTTTTTTTCTGTTTTGCACAATACACTGTAACATTGCACATGTACAGTTATCCATCTGGACCATATTCCACTTTATTGTATATAGTGTATATATGTTTTATATTCTAGATTGTTATTATATTTTAATTTTATTTATTTTATTTTATTGTATTGTATTTTTACCCTTTTTCTGCTCTTTGCACTACATTTCCCCTGTGCTGCTGTGCCAAATTTGAATTTTTTTAGTTCCCCAACCTTTTTCTTTAAGGGACCCCTTTTCTGTCATTGAATAAAGTGGCGCTTAAGTGACATATTTTATAGATATTTACTATTATATTCAAAACTCTACAATGAATCCAAATAGTGAATTCAGTAACTACAAGAAGCATGTGTAAGTTATTTGGATGAATTATGAGCAGATAATTTACAACTTTCTGTCTGTATTATGTATTTTTAAAAAAAAATCATTTTAACAGTCATAAATAATCTGTCATCATCAATACATAATTCAGTGATTTCTTGTCCCTAGAACCTGGCCATTGTTAAATTAGACTTTAAATTTACTTAAATTTACATGCCTTAAAATCAAGAAAGCCTCACCACCCCCAAAAAGCTTTGACAACCCCTTGTGGCGGTCCCGACCCTTAGGTTGAGAACCACTGCTATAGCATAAGCCGCTTGGGAGAAGGACAATACAGTGTAAAGGAGAGAGGTAAGGAAAGGATGCCAGACTGAAAAGTCTCCTAAAAGCTGCTGAGAGAGAGAGAGAAACTGAGAGAGACAACAGCACGAGGGATAGAGACTCAATGAAAGCGTCAGAGGTCACTGGAGACAAACTGCTGTGAAAAGAGGCAAATAAAGCCTGTCCTTAGATGATGAAAGACCTCCAGCTTATTACAATGTAAAGGCAGTAAAAACTAATAAAATAAAAACTTCTCAGCACCTAGACTGTTTTTCTTTGGGGATTAAGTGACTTGAGGTGGTTGTGTTACCTTAGTAGTGTCAGCTGAGGACGACCTTACTGTCTTACTACTAGATGCTGGTATCATATGAAACTGGATGACCTAAGCAATCCATTGGTACCAACCTGTCTAAATAATGCTCCAGAGTTAAATTGATCCCCTGACCTCTGACCCCAAGATATCGTACATACATGTAATACATGTACATACATATACATGTTTGAGCAGTCAAAATTGGTTTTTGAAAGATTTTGCACGTAACAGAGCATGGGAATGGTCATCATATACTTCACATAAATCGATCAGCTATAACATTATGAGCACTGACAGGTGAAGTTAATAACACTCATTATCTGGTTATCATAGCTCCTGTCAGTGGGTGGTTAAAGTTATGTGTAGAAGCAGGAAAAAATGGGCAGCGTGAGGATTTGGGCCGACTTTGACAAGGCCAAAATTGTGATGGCTAGCGACTGGATTCAGAGATCTCCAACCTGCAGCTCTTGTGGGGTGTTCCCGCTGCAGGGTCAAACTATCAAAAAGTGTCCAAAGAAGGAAAAGCATTGAAACCGGAGAACATGGTCGGGGGGGTATCAAAAGTGGTGAACCAAAGACAGGGTCATGGGGGGCCAAGGCTCATTGATGCACGTGGGGAGCAAAGGCTGGCACAGACGAGCTATTGTATAGGCATCCTACAAGAAAGTGGTTGGCCTTAATAATTCATCCCCAAGAATGATGCAAAAAGCTATGAGGAATATGGAATGCCAAAATGATCATTATTCACCTTTTCCAACCCTTGGTGTAAAAGCCAGTAACCATCAGCTGTCACCCACTGCTGTCCCACCGTAAACATATTGCTCACATGTCTCAGCCCACCTTAAGATAATAGAACTGCACCAGATAACGAGTGATAGTGTCACTTTCACTGGCTGATACAGTGAAGAAAATCCGCAGGACACAGAGATAAAACACGTAGAAAAACAGAAATATACACAGAGTACTCTGTGTGTGTATTTGTGTGTAACTGTTGCTCACCGCTGTTCATCCAGAAGGTGTACGGAGGAGGCAGGCCTGGCGGGGGGTTGCAGGTTAGAACCAGCGGGGAGCCTTCAGTCACCACCACCGGCTCCAGCACCTCTTTAGGCCACAAAGGAGCCTCTGAAGGATGGGGATGGGGGAGGGTAGTGGAAGGAGGTGGAAACAAGCAGGAAAATTAGGAAAAAGATGAGAATAATTATATATGACAAGAATTTCAGTCAGATGAGGTTGAGGGGGATGATCTTGGCAATATGTGTCAAAATGTAGGGAATTTCTGGTTGTTGCAGTTGTGGTCAACAGATATTTTTAAGCAAGCACACAGTGTCAGTCACAGTGAAGTCAAGTAATCAAGACAACCTTTGTGGAAACTTTATCATAATTTGTGTGAGTGGATTATGTCCAAATATTATGTAATCATGTGTATGTGTTCTTGTATATTCTTACTGGAGACCCGGAGCAGGATTTTGTTGGACAGAGCCACTCCTAAGTCACTGGTGGCAAAACACTGGTACTCTCCTTCGTAGTCCTCTGGTCGTCCTCCGCTACGGAAACCGATCTCCAGGGTTCCTGAGCGTTTTCGCATCGTCACCCTGGGATCCTTCCCGATGTTGAAAAACTTCCCGTTCCTCCGCCATGAGAACCTGAGCCCAATGACAATGAATCAAAGAGTTAGGACTATGACATCCCTGATTGTCCTCTTTATGTGATGCTCATTTTGAGTTTGATACAGTCTTTCTGGTGACAACCAACTTTGTCAATTTTGTTGCCTTGTCAACAGTCTTCTTACTACAGAATCCGCTGTAGTCACATGACATAAATATGGCAGAAAAACCAGCCCTGGCTTCCATCTGCATTACAACTCAGCACATATACATTTTTTTAAATAAAGGTGAAAGGTTAAAAAGACTGGAGAAATTTGGAATGGTGGAAGTGTACTCAAAGGTTATACAAATAATGCTTGCTTGCAACTATATTCCAGCCAAAACTCGTGGAACTTGACATTTTAGTAAAGGCAAAATAAAAACAGGCTGAATAATGATAAAAGATTACAGTGAATCCTCATTTGCAGAGAGAACCAGGCCTTTATTTCTAATTTACTTCTATGTATATATGTTTTAAGTGTTTTCTGAGAAGCCTCCCTGTTTTCTTGATGTAGATTCTTAATACCTAGATGCTGTTTGCTGTTAAATCTCCACTTTCACATGTTGTTCTTAATAATTCAATGTACTTTTCCATAACACCAGTTCTATCAGATTCATGCCAAACGCTGCACTCTGCTGTTGTATGCTTCTCTTTTCTCTCCAGGTAGACATTTCTTATTCATTCATGATTATTTCCTGTTGCTTCCATTTTGTTATCAACACTTCCTGTACAGTTATTTCACAATGAAACCATACTGGCAGCTCTATCCACAAAGTGGTGATTCGATACTGTTGTTTTACAGATAGAATTAATCAATAATACAAAGACTTTTATGTTTATGGGCTTATACATGAAAAAACAACCCGCACACTTGTTTAAGAGACAATGAAGGCTAGGGAAGCATGGCAGAAGTTATCTTGGCATTAGGTATTGCCCACTGGGCTATGACCATGTTAACATGCACTCTTTAATTGTTTCAGCATCCGGAAAATGTGAAAGTCTTTTGCTTGTCATTTGGCTGCCATCTTACATTACTCAACAGCATAAAAGGCTGCCATGCCACGCGCTCTCCATGTGCATGTAATAGTTGTGTAGCTTAATCCTGCTCCATGTGGTACTTCCAGAGGGCTCCCTGATTAGTGAAGAACACTCAGTATGCTTACATAACCCGCCTCTATTTTTAGTGATGAGCGGGGATTTACAAAAGATACTTCGTGTCATTTTTAGGCGAGTTACAGTCGAGCTGGGCCTGTTTGAGGTGCAGCACAGCGCTGAGCCTGAACAATGGGCCACTATTGAAGGGCTGGAGACCAGAGCTGTGTGTGTTGTGGCATGTGTTGCGTAGTGAGAGACTGATTGCGAGTGAATAAATGAACGATCCCTTTCGCTGAATGTTTCATGAGCATGAATAGTCAACCGAGTGCATTATTGGAGCACAATGCCTGTCCTGGGAAGGGGAGAGCCAGTATGTGTACATGGGAGAGTGGCCGTTAGTGCCTTATTGTGAGGTTGTGTAAGCCTGTGTGTACACAAGAATCTGGGTGAGTGTGCACGTATATGTGTGTGTGTCTTACGTAAAGCCAATCTGCCTCCAAATAAACAATGTACCACTGTCCTGAGCCGGTCATACCCCCAGTGATGTAACCACTGGAGACCCAGTGTGTGTGTGTGTGTGTGTGTGTGTGTGTGTGATGTGTGTGTGTGTGTGCTTTAGGCATGCCTCTGAGTGTGAACTGTGTGAGTATTTAGAGGCATGTGTATGTGTACATGATTGAGTGTACATCACAGCAGTTTCTTGTGTCTTTTGTGTGTGTGTAGAGCCAAAAAAAAGAGGAAAAATCTGTAAAATGTGAGTGCTATAGACTAATCCACCAGATGATTTAACGGCAACACAGTTTTACAGTTTGAAATCATGGAAGGTTGGATTGATCACGGTCAGTTGGCGATTATACAGTAAATGAACAAATGTGTAATCCATGATTTCTAAATACACATACATAAATACACAATACTAAATAAACATGAAATTGTAAATAGAATTCTATTCTTTGTGGCCACGAAACACAACTCTGAATAATTTCACTGTGAACTGAAGGGGAAATTTGCCATGATTGATGTGGCTGGCCAATCAGTGCTGATGGTAAATGTAGTCAACTGAAGCAATAACCCCCTCAGTAAGTGCTACATTGATGGTGCCAGTGCCGTCATTTGCCATGTGCATGTGATATAGTCCATGTCGAAGAATAACTACTGGCTGTTTCAGCTTGGAGCCTGAAGCTAACAATATAGCTACGTGTAAAAAAGAAATCATTGCAGGAATTAATTTGCATGGCAAAAATGTGTTTGACTTTGACTTTTGATGAACTGTGATTAGCACCCACTCCACCTGCTCAGTTAGTACAGGCTTCAGAAGTAAGCTGGTTTTGGTGATTTTCAGGAAAAGTTAATGTATTTAAGACATCTAAAAACATGTTTCAATCAGGGCTGTCAAGAGCACTCAAGTTGAGTCCAAGACGTGTCCGAGTCTGAGAAGCTTTGACATCTATTCAAGATCAAGCCCCCAGGAATGGAGCTGGTTGGTAAAGCGATTTGGGGTATTGAAACGTCGCATTGGTCTCAAAAAGCATTTTTCCTTTAAACAAACACTGGAAAAGGAGTGCCCAGAGATGACTCTTTTTATTATCAGAATCTGATCCAATCATATCCATATATCCATATCACATGTTGATGCCAGGTGTAAATGGAGCAAAAATGCATTTGGATAACATTTAGTGGATTTACAGCATTTATTGGTCATATTTCTTGAAAAAAAGCTGTATAAAAGGAGTAAAAAGTAGAATCCTTCATACATTCTTTACTAAAGCTTTATTGTACAGGTTTACAACAGTAATAGTTAAGTGTTTACTGCCTACAAGCCAGATTAGTCTATAGGAAAACATGCAGAGAGAAAACAAAGCATAGGATATTCAAGTTTTTATAGGCAGTCAATGAAATGATGGCCAGATAGCCAGACAGACAGACAGACAGACAAAGAGATGGAGGTGATGGAGAGAAAGAGAGCAGCAAAAAGCACAACAGAAGACTTGTCAGGTTAAGGCTGTAGAGGACAGGCAGACAGGTGTCACGCTGAGTTTATAAGGTTGTTAGAGGGCAGGAAGGAGCTTGGGGGTAAGGCGCTATTCAACTGAAGGGGAAGGGAGGGGGGGTCACAGAAAAAGGAGGGGTTGGCTGAGGTGAAAATGTGCTATTGTGTGTGTGTGAGGGAGCGGGCAGAGTGGCAGAAGAGCACATCTGAGTGGCACTGTCACTGCTCATGAGTGTCACTGCCAGAGAGAGACTGGGATGGATGGAGAGAGACATGAGGGCAAGGACACCAAAGACAGACAGAGCAGGGTGACGGCTGTGGCTCAGAGGCAGAGCAGGTCGTCCCCCCAATCAGAAGGTTGTTGGTTCGATCCCCGGCTCCTCCTGGCATGTGTCGAAGTATCCTTGAGCAAGATACTGAACCCCAAATTGCTCCCGATGCACAGCATCTGTGCGTCCGTGACACTGTGTATCGAACTGAGGTTCCCATGGACCTTTGCCAGTCAGCTGTGTGAAATGTGTCATGAATGAGGCTTCCGAATGGAACGTATTGCCATCACCTGAGTGCCATGTGGTGAAAAGCGCCGTCGCGCAAATTGGGCGCACGTAGGCTGGTAGCAAAGCCTTCCTCGCAGTGGCGCTCGAAGACTCAGACACAGCGGCGGGCTCAGCACACCCATAGCGCAAGTCGCCATTTACAAACGGCCAGCCAACGCAATAGCAGGATCTACCCGGAAAGAGAAGCAGACGAACATGGAGCGACAGAAACAACGAGCCTGAGCTGAAAACGCCCAGTCCGCGAATGACTGACGGACGGCCACCGGTACCACGGCGGGCACACAGGAGAGAGAAGACGGCAGGCGCGTACAGGCAAAACTGGTCTGCACGACCGCGCCGCCCCACACCGCCGGCGCACTCGCGCGCCGACAACCTCCGCCTTCCTTTGTCCGCTCAGCTGCGCAAGCGTGCATTTCCTGATTGCTATTCCCAGCCTGCGTCTGCCACTTGCTGCACAGCCGAGCACTCTGGCAGGCATGGTCAGTTTGTCACGTTGACGCATGGGTCAGTCTCTTTAGCGGGCCCTACCGAAGGCCGTTTTCTGAGCTACCCCTGCCCATGATTTTTTTGGAAATGAAACTTTCTTTTCTGACAAGTGTAACGTAAAGCCCCTAAATTCTGGGGCTAGGCTCGCCTCCCTCCAAGCTAATTTACGGCAGGGCAGCGAGGAATCCTAAACGGGCGTGGCGCCTTGTAGTTAGCGAAGGCCTCCCAGTTAAGGGCTACTGCTGATGACATCAAAAGGCTACTCTCCCATGTTTGCGCAGGGGAAGTGTATAGGCCTACGTGCAAAAGTCGCGAGAGGTTTGTGCTAGAAGAGGCGGTAATTACGTGGATGAAAGCTGCACCACTACGCTAATCTGCAATCTGAATAGCTAATACGTACACCCCGCCCAAACACCAGCACTTCCTTTATGCTAAAAACCTATGTATATAATATTTGTAGTATGATATGACGTGTGCATCCTGACACTTCCAGGGGTCCAAAATCTGGACGCAGTTCTAACGCCTATTCTTACCGATTCTACCGGCCACTATTACACTTCTTCAAACTCCCTCCTAGCGGTTGAAACCCGGATAAAATGACATGTGATGAAATGGCTGTGAATAGTGCTTCTATCCC